TAGATTTATATAAGGGCTTGAAAAAGTAATGGCAAAGCATTAGCATGGATGACATCAGGCTCTCTATTCATCGTCGATTGACCTTTTCAAACCTAAAAAAATGACCTACTAACTTACAAACCGGAACTCTTTTTTGCTTAGCATGAAGGGCATTCAAACCCTAACCCTCCTCGATTCCCAGAAAGATAATCATTCCGGTGTCTTTTAGCTGTCTGTCGAGCTAAAGAATTTAACGTCGAGATAATGAAAATTTGTCGTCTCGCATCACGCACTTTCATGAAAGCGACGACGTCCTCTTTGGTTGGACAGAAATTGGTCAAACGAAACTTGTCCTCTTCCATCTTTTTATATCCCAAGTGCGTAAAGCCACGGACATGTTTGACTGGCACTAGCTCGATGTCGAAGCCAAATCAAAGATGACTCTTCGTTCGAATGCTGAATGAATATGCTTCGTTGCGCAAGCGCACTCATGCAAAATTATTGCTTCGCCCGGAGACCAGAGGACTTTAAGAAAGCACGACCACGTATGGAAAATCAATGAGAAAAAAAAATCATGTAAAAACAATGCATGTATTGCGCAATAAAGTAGATTGAATAGGAGAAAAGGGTTCTTTGCCAAGCCAAGCATTGTAAACTGTCATTTTCCTTCATTCGAAACAAAAGCACGTAATGCATATCTAGATGGCCCATCTTTTCATCCGATTTGATATAGTTTCTTCCAACTAGGCCTCTAATAAGGTGGTTTACAATTTATAATTATCATTCGCATACAAACTTAACTAAATATTAATGTCAAAAGGAAAACACGGTCCTATTTAGGCAATAAACTCGAAGGATCCTGTTATTCAACTCAAGAATTAGTGCTTGTAGCATCATGTATGTGGATGCACCTTATCGCATTCTCCTCTCCTCCTCGCAATTGCCATCATCTGAATTAATTTCAGGATCTTTTGAATAATAGAGACCCGATTTGTCTAGGTTTAATTATATCTCCATATGATTTTCATCTTGTCGATGAGCATAATTTATCTGGAGTTGAATTACTTTTCAAGAATTCTACTCTTGGTGAAAATGAAAAAGAAAATTAAAATTCAAGTAAGGCAAGAAAGAACAGCGATCCGTGTGTATTAGACTAATTCCATCCTTCTTCAACAAGAATATTGGACCTAATCTTCTTCTTAATTAGAACCCGTATCAAAACGGTTCTCGAATCATAAGTTAGATGCGAATAAAACCTTGTCAACCGCGACTTAATATCCGTCAACCGGCCACCAAATCTTTTGGATGAAAATGAAATTTTGATGATTGATTGTCTTTCAATTCAACGACTATGAACAGCTCGTTAACCATTTTACTTGCTTCCTAAGCTTTCATTACTCAACGCAAAAGATGGTCTTACAGTGGGTTCCCAAAAAGTGGTAAAACAAGATCAATCCTCTTTTTTATATTGGAAGCCCCCCAATCACATATAGATATTATCTATCGGTCTATCTCTCATTTTTTTCAAATTCAATGTCTTCTAATAAGGTTTCTAGATATGACTAGGGAATCTTTTTGATATTTGTATGATTAACAACATGTGGGACCACGTGAACCTAAAAAAGAACATAGATTGGAACATCTCACTCTCTAGAGAGAGAGAGAGAGAGAGAGAGAGGGAATTGGGGAACAAGGACGTCTAGAAAAAGCGAAAGCTGCCATGGAAACGCAGAGAGCATTTCACGCCTATTCATGTGGGCATCAATGGAAAGAAGAACACAGATTGACATACACACATTTATATGGAGCTTGGGATTTTTTTCCTTTTCGTTTTCCCTATTTTCTACGGTTTCTAATGTTTCTCTAGATACCCCCTCATTTATTATTGGCCATGTCCGGATCACAGCATTGCTTGTACCACTTCGACCAACCGACCACAAAAAAGAAGATCCCATCCCATCATCACGCAGGTAACAGGAGAGAGAGAGATCGAATAATTGATAAGCAATCGATATATATTATTTAGTTCACTAACCTTAAATGAGTATTTCCAACCAAACATCAAATTCGAACAAACAAGACATATTCAAGCGCAAAACAAATGTGTGTGGAAGAGATACTTCGTCGAATCGACCCCATTGTTGGCCCTACCTTTTCTTGAAACAAGCCTATATGAATCAGATAGTGGCACTGAAATTCATAATATTAATTAGTATATGGACTTCGGTCATTTAGGGCAGTTAATTGTATATTTGGATTAAACACGCATGTAATATTATTTAATGATAGCAATTTATATTATCCGCAAGTTTCAATACAAATTTTTTGAAATTATTTTTTGTAAGTTTATGAAAAAGAGAAGTATCATCTTTTAGTCGTTACTTTCACCAAACAATAACCCTGATGAAAACTTTAAACCTTAAAGTCCCATTTGGAAATTGTAGAGAAATCAATTAATTGTGACTAACTTAATACAATTTCAAAACAGTTTCGCGAAGGATAGAATTCCCCCCCCCAACCCTTAATCCGTCGCCAATGAAATCGGATAAATTGAAGTTACATCACCTTGCATTAAGAAGGGTTAGAAAGGTTGTGAAAATGGGTAAAATCAACTTAATCACTCTGATCCTACTATAAATCTATAAAGATATACTTCCACCTGAGATCTTCTAGTTATGTTCCTTGGATATCATCAAGAACCTACACTAAGATGGACTAATTTAAGCTCAAGATACAAAAAAAAAAATATGACGCGCAATGATTATAAGTTTTTTTTTCTTTTTGGGTCAGACAGTGATTATAAGTTTAAGGAGTGGAATGATGTATCGATAATGACAAAGCGAAATGATAGGCACTTTAGTAGAATTCGTTTTTCTTTTTAGCAATTATAGCGATAAAGAAGGCTTTTTTCTTCTTTGGTTTGATGTTGTCTGCCCCGTGAATGGCTGACACAAAACCCTAATGAAACAAAAATGGATAACTAGGAGCGTTCGAACACATTTTCGTTTTCGTCATCATTTCTTTGACCTATGACTCGCCTACGTCTTGTTATATATTTATCTTTTTACCCCCACACCCCAAAAAAAAAAAGAATCTCTCTCTCTCTCTCTCTTTCTCTCTCTGCATGGTTTTGAGTGGGATTTTGGCGTTTCCCAACTGCTTCTTTGTCCATCGATTACCATGCGCTGTGTAACTCCACAACACAACACACCAACAGACGAGTACGAGACAATCTCGCCTATAATTACACAATCATTTTCGTCATAGTGTCCCTAAGCAGGCAACAAAGGTTACGTCGTCGTTTTCCGACTTGTCTAGGGTTCCCAAAAAACTAAATATAGTACATATGTACAGAAAATATCGCCATTCGTGAGTCGTCACACTTCTCATTCCTTTTTCTTGATTGAAGGCACGAACTTAGATGCGTTCAACTGATGATTTTCTTTCTCTTTTATTATTATTTTTTTCTTTTTGGCCTTTCTTGGGCAGGTGAAAAAACCAGTCTTTCTTGAGTAAAAGTTCCAAAAAAGAGCGAGACCGACAGATTTTCTAGGAATTCGTAATTGGCATAAACGCGATCACAAGAAAAGAAGGGTGATGGATGTGTATGAATCGAAGCGTGGTGGAACAGTTCTTCATGCATGGCTCTTAAAGATCAAACAAAAATCACTGAGACGTGACTGCGCGGATCAGAAAAATGACCAAGAAAAGAAGGAAAGTTTTTGGCCACTAACTTCACTTGGCTCGAAGTGGCAAGGGAAGCTATTCAAGACGTACAGTTCATGTTCAGTGCTTTCTCAAAATCATCACTCTTGTGTTCTTCTACCATTTCCCATCCTCTTCTTTTCCTTTTTTTCTTTCTTTTTGTTTCGATATCGGGGGATGATTAGTAATTTCCCGCAGACAGGATTCAAATCAATCTTCCCGGAGAGCGGCAACTGATAAGCCGTTGGTTATATTATGAACAAGCATCACGAGACATACAAAACTTTACCTTTTGATAATAAATGAGAACGTTACACCCAAGTACATTAAGTAAATGTCTACCAACCATATGCCCCCCTTGAAGTTCAAGTTGTTAGGAAGCGGCCCACGATGTAATTATAGCATATGACTTAACTCCCGCCCTCGTATATAAGCTAGTTTTTACAAACGTAAGACAAGTTGGACAAAACCACATTAATGGTAACCAGCAAAACATAAAACTAGCAGATTAAGAGGAATGACAAGCAGGAGAAATTGACAGAGGGTGTTAGGATTCGACCTTTGACCTGTGCTCTGATAACATGTTAAACAAATCGTTTCTTCCAAAAGTTTCAAATGTTAGGAAACGGGCCAACAATGTATTTATGGCATATAACATACTATATAAGACCCGAGCCAAAATCTAGGTTATAGGCCAATTACGGGATTGTTTTTAACTTGGTGTTGTAAGGAATTGAACATGCGCCATGTGTGAAACAGTACATTAGTGGCAAGAAAAATGTTCAAGAGTCTATATGAGACGTATTATCTTGAATCCAGAGACAACACGAGACATACAACCATATGGGTTTGTTACTACCAACTTTTTGAAACGGTGTTACATTCCTAGCATTAGTCGCTGTCGATGTGGCGCATTCTTGTGTGTCAAAATATGAAGCCCGAGTTTTCTACAGGTTTAAGAGAAGGGGGACAAATGGTAGCTAGAACGGAATAGACATCAAAATGATTTTATCATCTAAGGGGATAAACATGCAAAAGAGTTCTATGTACTGAACTCTGATCTATTATGATCATGAATAAGCCTTAAAAAAATGATTTTGACCTATAGGCCTTCAAGAATGTGTTCTCCTTTATTTAGTTTTCCTCTGCTCTCACCCTGATCTATTATGATCATGAATAAACGAAAAAGCTTTTTCTAGAAATATATACTGAACTTGTTGAAATAAGCTTCTAAATGGGTATTTAAAGCATCAGCAGATCAACACCTTATCATCATTCTGTTTGTCGAGTCCATCATGTAACCAAAGGCACTCATAGAAGGAAAAAGATGATGATCGACGGAAATCAGTATACATATAAGTTCAATAAGATTTACTAAGCACAACGCATTTAGATCAGTAACGACACCATGTAGTGTAGCCATGCTTGTTAGCAAGCAACCAGCATCACCACATAATCCTAGCTACTAGATGATCACCTAGCTAGACATCTCATACGTAAAGAATACTACGATGAAGCAAAAAAAAGAATTCAAAAAGGGCAAACGAAGTACATTAATTCGAGAGAATAGAAGCCTACACTGCTTCTATTTTCCAAAAACAAATGATCAAGAGATACAACAATAGTCAATATAAAACCCACCTTTCCCAAATTTCACCTTTGTTCAAATTCCCGCACTGGGTGCTTGCAAGTTAGCATCATTGATCTGGAGACCCGCCTAAATTTTTTGTCCAAGTCATGCCATTTCAAGTCACCTCATATAGCAGCAATTATTAGCGAAGACTTCCAATTTTGAGTTTGAAGAGATCAGAGCAATTTCTCACAAAAGATGACTTGTGGAAGATGATGAGAAGCCGGACAGATCAGTCCATGCATTGTTATTGCCACCCCAAAAGTGCTCGTTGTTATTGTTTGATGATGACACTCCTGATGAGAAGGTCAAATTTCTCGACAGATTCAACCTTTGATTTTCTTCCATTTTCACTGTTGACCCCATTTGATGGGCAATTCCAGTAGAATGATCCAATGGCTTATTGGTTAGGAGTTCGCTTGCACTGGCTTCACCTTCCAAAGGGTATGATGGTGTCTGCAAATTGGCAAAGAAAGGGAATTGCTGAACTTGGTGATGCATTTGATTCAACCTCCAGTGATGATCACTCAGTCCATTCGGTAATAGTTGTGCGCCTCCTCCACTGCTCGACCCAATTTGGAATTCGACATCGGGCATGACGCTCCTCCGAGCCACCGCCAGCTGGGACTGCGCTCCCGGCCCGAAGTTCAACCCCACGTCACTCGAGATAAAGTCGTTCAGATTATGCAAAGGTGGTAAGAAGGGTAATTGCGATGGTGGTGGGACCAAATGACCGATGATGTCTGCAGCGGCACCGGTAGAGGAGGCGCCAACCCCACTGCCGCTGGTTGTGGAGCCCGAAGCGGCTTGTCGCTCCGTGGTGACAGGGGACTTGGATCTACCGCCCTTGCTCCGCTTGTTCCTCCGGCAGCCACCACCGACCGGCACGTTCCTCAGCGCGCCTCCTCGGGTCCAGTACCGGCGGCAAGTCTTGCAGAAGTGGCGCGGCTGCGTGAGGCTGTAGTTGTTGAAGTAGCAGAACTTGGTGTTTGTTGACTCGCACCGAGGGCACTTAAGCCCAGCCTCAGGCTGTGGAATCTTGGCCATCCGAGCCCGATCGGCCATGGAACCGGGCCGGATGGAGCCTGTACCGCCCCCTCCGGCTGGCAGAGGGGGCGGCGGCAGCGGAAGCTGAGGAATCTCACTGCTTGCTCCTGGTTGTTGATTTGCTTGCTGTTAAAAAAGCACTTAAAGTAGTCAAAAAACACGGAAAAATCATGGAGACCAAGGAAAAGAGAAAGAAAGAAAGATCAAACGTCTGGGTATATTCAAGAAAAGAAAGAAGGGTTGGGTTTTGGAATGAGAATATTTATCTTTTTCTTGATTTCTTTAGCTTTTGGAGAATAAGATCATGTAAAAAGATGTGAATTTTGGAGAAACAATTACCTGTGGCCAGTTGGGTGGATCTAGATATACTGGAATGGATGAGAACACCATGGTTCTTGAGCTTTAATTCTCTTTCTCTTTCTCTTTCTCTTTCTCTTTTGGAAAAGGCTTCGGGGGTTTTTTTGGGAGAGATATGGTGGAGAATCACATCAAGAAGAGAGAGTTGCAGAGAAAGAAAGAGAAAGTGAAGATGGAAAGAAAAAGGAGAGTGTGTGTTAATTTATGTTGTTCTTTGGTCTCTCACAAACCCCAACCCCCCCGCCCCCGCCCCCAGACCCCAACCCCAACCCCAACCCCAACCCCACCCCACCCCACCCCAACCCACATTCTCTCTTTTTGTATTGTTATTAAATTTAGGGTTCGTAAAAGCACAAAGCTTTACTTAACACATAAGTGTCTCTCTCTCTCTCAACTGTGCCGCAACACAAGAGGTTGCTTTCTAACTTCCATGCAGAGAGAGAGATTTCTTTGTAGTGTTTGTATGAATAATAATGAGTAAAAAGGTGGGCATAGGTGCAGTGTCTTGTTGGAAGTGTCACAATCCAATTTACCCTTTGTTTCTCGGTCTAATTTCTAGTGGAATTTGAGATGATTTATATATCTTGAACTTTTTGCAGAAAAAAAATAATAAGGCGCAGAAAATTACAAAAAAAATAATATTCACATCAATGAAATTATGTGGAGTTTAATTAAAGTAATCAAAACCACCATCATATTGGTTAATTCTCTAATTAAAAGAAATCTCCCTCTACACACACATTCTCATTTTTGGTATTGGTGTTTAAATTTAGGGTACATAAAAGCATAAAGCTTCACTTAACCCGTAAGAGTCTTTCTCTGTCTCAATTGTGCTCTCAGCACAAGAGGTTACTCTCTAACTTCATGCGCGTGGAGAGAGAGAGAGAGAGAGAGAGAGAGAGAGAGAGAGAGAGAGAGAGAGAGAGGGGTGGACATCTGTAGAGGTAAGCATTTTCGCAGAAAGAATATATTAATATGCTGATTTTTTTAAGATCATCTCTCATTTCGATAAAAGTCAAATTCCCTTTCTATGAATTCTCCATTTTCTTTTGGAATATGTGTATTGAAAATCCTAAAACTTGTTATGAAAATGCAATTGAGTCCTAAAACTTTCAAAAAATGTAATCAAGTCTTAAAACAAATTGGTTCAATAAAATCCTTCCATTTACTCTATCCAATTAGGCTAACGAAAATGCTGACGTATCTTGTTTTATTATTTTTGTAAGACATGTGGCGAATGTGACACCCACCAAGTGCCACGTCTAAAAAAATATTCAAAAATTAAAAAAAATGCAAACTAAATTAGAATAAGAAAAAAACAAACTCAAAGCAACAGTTGTGGCCAAGCCCTTGTTGGTGGCCTTAGCCGTCACCACAAACGCCAGGAAGGGCTGGCAGAGGTCTCCTGAGCCATCCTGAAGCCCGATGACCCTTGTTGGCCCTCGGCAAAGGCCTACGAGCCCATATTAGATGAGGGTGCAACCCTCGCCCCATATCTGAGTGAGGGTCATCGACCCTCGCTTGAGTCAGCGAGGCCTCTCCTGAGGTGGTCGACGCTAGCCTGACCCTAGGTGAGGCCTCACTGACGACCCTCATTCAAATTTGGGGCAAAGTCCTCCCCCAAATCTGGGTAAGCTTGCTGGGCTTCGAGAAAGCCCAGGCAACCTCTGCAGCCCTTCCCAGCGAGGGCTTAGCCACAGTCGTTTAGTTGAGTTTGGGTTTTTTTTTTAGCTTTTTTTAGTTTATTTTGTATTTTTAAATTTTTGAATATTTTTTGAGATGTGGCGCTTGGTAGGCGCCATATCATCTCCATGTTTCTTAAGAAAATAATAAAATAAGACATGTTAGCATTTTCCGTCAACCTAATTGGACGGAATTAACAGAAGGACTTTTTTTTTTTACGGAATTAACGGAAAGACTTAATTGAATCAATTTGACAAGTTTTAGGACTTGATTGCGTTTTATGAAAGTTTTAGGACTTAATTGCACTTTCATGACAAGTTTTAGGACTTTCGGTAAACTTGTCCCTTTTTTCTTTTTAAACCAATTAGTATTTTTTCTTTTATGTATTGGTAAGAGTTTATAGATATCTCATCGTCCGCAATTGATATTTCTTTTTCCTAAGAACATATGTCTAGAATTCCCTTACTTTTAAAATTGATCATTTGAATATTTATACATTTTCTTATGAAAATTTCGTTGTCAACAGTTGGTTATTAATGCATTTTGCATTTATTGAGCTTCAAGTTCATAGTTTATCCCAAATTTGTTAATTTTTAATTTTATCGTATCATGAATACTAGTTAATAATTATTATTTTTGTATATCACAATAGTTAATATTGGTATATATACATTTATGCCATTATAGTGAAATATTGGCAGCCCCAAACATTAACATCTATATGATAATAATTGATATTAAATCAAAACGAGCATGAGATATTGTTTGGAAGTTACAATTAAATTGCAATAAGATATACTTTAAAATGCGATGATGACTGTACTTTGAACTTAAAGTTGTTGTAAAATCTGTTTTGGTATAGTATTAGAAGTTAACCAAAACACAATTGAAAATATAAATAAAATAATCTGAACACCAATAAATGACTAAAAAAATTAGTGCATTAACAAACTCTATCAGATACACTGAATGTTAATTAGAGTTGTCTTGATTGTTGGCCGCAAAAATGATGCCCAAGATCTCCATAATTAGAATCTAGAACACATATAATCGAGTAAAATGAATTTGCGCACCTGATTTGGAATCCATCGTTCTTGATGCAGAACAGTGACGATTCTTAGTGCAAGTTCTTCTCCTCTATTACACTCTGTATCACTGGCTCAGTGAGACTGCCTCTCATAGATAGCGTTTGTTCCTCATGTGAGAAAATGTATGTCAGGGTTAGAGAAAAAACTTGAGCTCTATTTATAAAATTTTAAGCCAAGTCCTCTCATCACAAGCCGGGCCTCACTCAGTCCACACTAGCCAGTCCCATATTAGACTAATTAAAAATCTTTATATCTAACTTTATTAGACCAAGCCCATAAAACGGTTAATTACAATCATAATTAATTTAGCCCACATTAGAAAAAACTCTTACATTCATCGCTCTACAAACTTCATCGAAATTATCTTACTTTTTCTTCAAAGAGTCCAACCACATACGCATTTAATATCATTTGTTCGTCAATTGACATACCTTTTTTCTCTTAATTGATATATTTCTAAAAATCACATCTAATTTTCCTATTTTCTTCTAATATAATTTATTCATCAAATATGGACAATCATGTTATCTATATATTTTTGAAGATCGTCTAACGTCATTTATTTGCAAGAAAATCTGCCATATTGTGTATATGTATATTATTCAACTCTTTCACAATTAAAATGTATCAGGTTATATAGCTTTTTTCAATATCCACTACCTTCTTATAATGCTGAAATACACACTATAATGTTACGGAGCCATTTTAAATTAATTGTTTTTTTCGATAAAATATTGTGTTAATGCGTAATCTATTATCAATTTGCTAGTTTTCATTTGCATGTAAAATTATGTGTTAGCATCTTATTTAGACAATATTAAAGTATTATCATGTATGTTGAGACAGAAATTGTTGTACATTTCCATTAAACTTAGGTGGATATTTATATACCCAAGAGTACATTTTGGAATATTTACTTGCAAGAAAGGTATAAATAAAATAGAAAACTTTCCAACTTTTAAAGATGGGATTCCAAAACTTCCAAAACCAATGGCCCTATATTTGGCTGATACACCCCCTCAAGTGGAAGAGTCGAGACAGTACATCTTCAACTTGTCTTGAAAAAATGCAAAACATGCTTTAGGAAGAGCGTTGGTGAGAGCATCAACTAATTGGTCAACTGTAGAGATAAACTGCACATTGAGCTATCATTTGGCGACACAATCACGAACAAAATGGAAGTCAATTTCAACATGTTTGATACCAACATGAAAAATTGGATTTGCAGACAGAGAAGTAGCACCAAGATTATCGCACCAAAGGATGAGGGCACCTTGAAGAGGGAACCCAAGCTCTTGAAAGAGTGACTTAAGTCAGATGAGTTCAGCTGCAGCATCGACAAGGGCTTTATACTCGAACTTTTTTGAAGAGCGTTCTACGGTTCATTGTTTTATGGAACTCCAAGATATCAAGTTCGGACCAAGAAAATTAGCATACCCTCCAATTGACTTCTTGTAGTCAGAGCTACCAGCCCACTCCGCATCGGAAAAGGCTTGCAAGCGAGTATCATTGAATAGGGAAATAAGCAAACCAAACGACCTTGTATGTTTAAGATAGCGCGAGATGCATTTCACCATTTGACGGTGATGTTTAGTCGGTGCATGCATGAAGTGACAAACTTTATTAACGACAAAGGAGAGATCTGGTCTTGTCAATGTCACACATTGGAGAGCACTAACTATAGACCGATACAGAGTAGGATCAGACATTATAGCACCCCCTTTCTCATATTATTTTCTAGTTATGGCCAGAAGAGTTTGAATAGACTTGCACTCAGACATCTCGGCCCGGTAAAGAAGATTATCAATTTAACATCCTTGAGAGAGAAGCAACCTGTTAGAGTGAGGTACATCCTCTATCCCAAGGAAGAAGTGGAGCGGGCCAAAATCCTTAATGGAGAACTCTGCAGATAATTTATAAAAATTTGCACTCATAGTAGAAGATGCATTACCCATAACCAGAATATTATCAACATAGATCAAACAATAAATGACACCAGTGCCTCTTCGATAGATAAACAATGAGGGATCTATTTGTGACGCCGACAATTCCAAATGAAACAAAAACTATAAAAGTCATTGAAACCAGGCTCTCGGAGCTTGCTTAAGACCATATAGAGAACGATGAAACTTACAAACGTAGTCACGATAAGTTGGGTCCTCAAACCCAAGAGGCTACTCCATGTACACCTCTTCAGAAATAACCCCATGTAAGAAGGCATTGTGCACATCGAGTTATAGTGCTTGCCACCCTTGAGAGATAGCAAGAGATAATATGGAGTGAACAATGGTTATTTTCACAATTGGACTTAAGGTTTTTGTACAATCCAAGCCTTGTTGCTAATAAAAACCCTTAGCGACCAGGCGAGTTTTATAGCACTCAAGACTACAATTTGCTTTACGCTTAACTTTG